GCCCCGCCCCGCCCCGTTCCGTTCCGTTCCGGCACGGGTGTCCCTGCTGCTGCTACGTGGGACCGTTTTGTACTCGTCCCGGCGGGGTTTTCCGCTCCCCGTGCTAGCGTGTCCCCGCCGCAACTCCCTTGCCCCTTTTCCTTTGGCCGCTGTCGTTACCGAGCGGTAAGCTTGAAGTTCTAAAATAACTCTTCCCGGGGGGAAGACGCTGGTTTTCATTTCGGGCGGTTGGCTCCCTTCCCGACAAGAGGAGGTGGTTGGGCAGACAGGACGATGCCTGTGCGTGGATGTGCGTCTGTGCCGGCGCGCACGCACGATCCCATGTTGTCCGGGCAAAGAGAAGGGCAGAGAAATCTCTTTACCTGGCGGAGTTCCGTTTGCTACCTTTTTTCCTCCCTGACGTTTTCCCTGGGAAAAGCTCGCCGCAACCACGGTCTGTCCTTCTCTTCCACTTGACGCGCTCCAAGGAAGGAGGCCCGGGAACTTACTTCGGCCATGCGTGCTGCTCCCTCCAGCTCAGCCAAAGCAATTTTACACCTGTTGGGCTTGTCTGGATGTGACTTTAAAAAACAGAGAATCTCAGATATGAAACATAGAGCTTTTGGTACTATAGGAAGATAAGCTGTGTTAAAAGTGTCTTTGGCACAGATGGCAACGCTCGCTCCTCTGCAGGGAAAGGTGCAGAGCCAGCACTGGGGAAAGGACTTTGAAACTGTGTTACAATAGCACATCAGGTCTTATACAGAGAAAGGAGAAGATTCATCGTCAGAGATTATGCTTTTGGAGTTACATCCCTTGTGCATCTCTGTTGATTTTCTACCTGAAGATTCAGGATTTAAAGCACGCCTTACCAAGAAGAAAATCACCTGCCACCCTGGACCACCATCTTGCAATCAAGCCCTCACAAATTAATCTTTATGCCAGGGTTTATGGAGCAGGGTTTGGAGCAATAGATTTTAACAGCTGAGACTGCATAAGAGGGCTGCCCAAGTGCTACTGCCCTGGTATATCACTGTATGCCCTTCCCAGTCTTTAACTCAGCCATTAATGAGTAAACAAGTAACTTTAACCATATGTGAGACTGAAGACTACCGTACACATACTAACTTACATGACACTTTCTATGATTTTGCCTTTTATTCTGTTAAATGAAAATAGAACTGCAGATACTGTAAATATGCTGAAACCTTACTAATACCAAGCCACTGGAAAACACTATGTCCGTATATTTCAGGGCTTCAGAGCAGATGCTCCGATCTTAGCTTGCCAAATCCACAAAAACGCAGCCAAAGGTAAAAGGTCCTCTGCCAAAGGGCAGATTTCAGCCCTAGCAGCAACTAGCAGCTTACTTGTAACAAGTAAAAACAGGGTATCTGCACTTCATCTAGTGAATGGGATCTTGTAAATCTTGACATTTATTTCCAATTTCTTTGAACATACTCTTCTTTTTAACTTTCAAAAATACAAGCTGAAAAAAAGCACATCACAACAAAAAGTTATGTTCAGTCTAAAGCAACAAGTTGTTACTTCATGTCTCAAAAATGCAAACTACAATGTACTAAATCATGAGCTCAATGTTCTCTGTAGCCTTTTACTGTCTTGTCTTAATCTGGGAAGCAGAAAAAATATCTAGATCCTTTTTCATTACATGCTCCATGTCACTCCAAGTACCTGAAACTCCGAAGAGTCATAGAATCATGACTGGGACCTTTAAAGGTCATCTAGTCCAACCCCCCTGCAATGAGCAGGGACGTCTTCAACTGGATCAGGTTGCTCAGAGCCCTGTCCAACCTGACCCTGAACAATTCCAGGGATGGGGCATCTACCACCTCTCTGGGCAACCTGTTCCAGTGTTCCACCACCATCATCATAAAAAATTTCTTCTTTATATCTAGTCTAAATCTACCCTCTTTAAGTTTAAAACCATTACCTCCTGTCCTATTGTAACAGGCCCTACTAAAAGTCTGTCACCATCTTTCTTGTAAGCCCCTTTAAGTATTGAAAGGCCACAATAAGGTCTCCCCAGAGGCTTCTCTTCTCCAGGCTGAGCAACGCCAACTCTCTCAGGCTTTCCTCATAGGAGACGTGTTCCAGCCCTCTGATCATTTTTGTGGCCCTCCTCTGGACCTGCTCCAGCAGGTCTATGTCTTTCTTGTGCTGAGGAGTCCAGAGCTGAACACAGTACTCCAGGTGGGGTCTCGATGAGAGCGGCGTAGAGGGGCAGAATCACCTCCCTCAACCTGCTGGCCACGCTTGTTTTGATGCAGCCCAGGATGCGGTTGGCTTTCTGGGCTGTGAGTGCACATTGCCAGCTCACGTCCAGCTTTTCATCCACCAGTACCCACAAGTCCTTCTCTGCAGGGCTGCTGTCAATTCCTTCATCCTGCAGCCTGTATTGATACCAGGGGTTGCCCTGACCCAGGTGCAGGACCTTGCACTTGGCCTCATGAGGTTCACATGGGCCCACTTCTCGAGCTTGTCCAGGTCCCTCTGGATGGCATCCTGTCCCTCAGGCGTGTCAACCGCACCACTCAGCTTGGTGTCGTTTGCAAACTTGCTGAGGGTGTACTTGATCCCAGTATGTCATTGATGAAGATATTAAACATTCCTCGTCCCAATATGGACCCCCGAGGGACACCACTCATCACTGATCTCCATCTGGACATTCAGCTGTTGACCACTAACCCTGTGGATGTGACCATCCAGCCAATTCCTTATCCACCAAACAGCCTATCCATCAAATCCATCTCTCCAATTCAAAGAGAAGGATGTTGTGGGGGATCATGTCAAAGGCCTTACAGAAGTCCAGATAGATGATATCTGTAGAAGAGGAGGATTGAACTGAAATGGAGACATTTTTGCATGGCAGCTGCATTTGTAACCCAAACCAAGAATATCTGGGCTTATTGCTGAGCTGTGGTGGGACAGCTTGCCTGACTAAGCGCTGTAACAGATGGATACAAGCCCTTCAGGAGAGACAGGCAGAGAAGGCAAGAACAGGGCCTGCCCTCCGTCTGAAGGAGCGGCTCAGCTGTATGAGACTCCTCTACGGGACAGGTGAAAATTTGCAGATGAGGGTCAGAGGAGAGACCACTAACTGTGTCACTGTGGTGGGGATGTGTTAGTACTCATCACAGTGAGGAAAAGGATGAAATCTTTGAAAAATTAGGAGATGTCTTAGTGCCATAGAAACTCTCACTCAGGAGAGGGATATCCAAGACATCTTCTGGAAGAGCAGCATGGCTGGATGCAAGCCATCCAGGAGATATTCTGAAGGATGTCAAGGGTAATTTCTTGTTATACAGGTATTGGATGGGCCAACTGGGGCTGATTCACAGCAGGTGGTGCACAGCTGGATCTGATGTTCACTGACAAGGAAGAACTGATGAGGGCTGGGGTAATCAGTGGCTGATTCTGATGTAGTATAGGCCAAGTTCCTGAGGCAAGGGAGGGTGGCAGGGAAGTGGCACAGCACAGACTCTGGGTGTTAGGAGAGCAGACTTTGGCTTATTCAGGGAACTGGCAAATGAGATTTCATGGGAGTGAGCTCTGAAGGGCAAAGGAGCCCAGGAAAGCTGGTCAGACTTTAAAGGAGGGCATCCTCCATGCAGTACAGATGGCCCATCCCAATACTCAATAAACCAAGGGGGCATACAAGAAGGCAGATGCCCAGGCAAAAAGAACTTCCTACAAGACAGGGATTCAGAGACAGACCACATGGAAGGAACTGAGAAACACTGCCTGGGCATGCAGGGGTAGTGTCAAAGAGGCTAGTGCTCAGCTGGAGATGAGCAGAAGATGGAGGTTTGCAGAAGATGTTACAGGAAACAAGAACAGTTTCTACTACTTTTAGCTGTAAAAAGCTGACGAAGGACAACTTGAGCCTGTTTCTGAATGGGGCAGGTGATATAGAGGCAGGGGAGACAGATAAGGCAATGGTACTCACTGCCGCCTTTGTCATTGCCAGCAAGGTCTGTCAGGCCTCTGCAACCTGTTGGTGGAGCTCAAGGGGACATGAGCTACCAGTACAGGATGAAGACTGAGGCAGGGACTGATTTCAAATACTTGATCCACACAAGTCCCTGAGATCTGATAGGCTGCACCTGGAGGTGCTGAGGGAGATGGCTGGTGTCCTTACAAAGCCGCTCTCCCTCAGCTCTGAGAGACTGTGGATACTGGGATAGGCTCCCAATGACTGGAGAAAGGCAAATGTCACACCCATCTTCAGAAATGGGTAAAAACTAACCTGAGGAACTACAGGCCAGTTAGCATCACTTTGGTCCCTGAGAGTATCATGGGGCCAGGCACGTTCTTTGTCTGGGCACATGGAGAAGGCAGTGACTGGAAACAGTCAGCATGGATTTATTAAAGATAAACCATGCCTGACCAACCTGATCATTTTCTATGGTAAAATGATGGGATTTGTAGATGAAGGAAGTGCAGTGGATGTCATTTACCTCTACTTCGACAAGGCTTTTAACACTGTCTCCCACAGTATTCTTGTATCAAGGTTAGGACTTCACAGTCTGAATGGGAGAACAGCTCCATGGGTAGAAAACCAGTGGAAAAAATGGTCTGGCTCAGAAGGTCATGGTCAGTGTATCATACCCTACCTGGAGGTCTGTACCAAGAGTGGTTCTGCAGTGGTCTATCATGGGATCTGTCCTGTTCAACATCTCAGAAGAGTAGATGGAAGGCACTTGCGTCAATTTTGGAGATGACAACAAATTGGGAGCAAGTGGTTGATATGGTGGAAGGCAGGGCTGCCATTCAGAGGTACCTGAACAGGTGGGAAGAATGGACCAACAGGGACCTGAAGAAATTCAGCAAGGGCAAATATGGAGTCCTGCACTGGAAAGGCAGAGCCCTGCAGTGAGAGAGGCTGAGGCTGGTGGGGCTGGGGACCAGCTCTGAGAGATGGCTCTGGATCTGGTGGACAGCAAGCTGAGCCAGGGCCAGACGTGTGCCTGCGTGGCAACAAGGGCCAGCGGTGCCTGGGGTGGTGTGAGCAGAGCATTGTTGTCACTTCTTCTTAGCACTCGTTAGACAATATCTAGATTCTGCATCTAGTTTGACCCCCACCACTCCCCCAGTCCAGGAAAGATGCTGATAAACTGGAGTGAGTTCAGTAGGGAGGAATCATGATAGTTGTGGGCTGGAGCACAGGATCTGCAAGGAGGGGGTTGTGTGGAGAAGAGACAGATTTACCGAGACCTATATGTGCAGTCCCTCAGCAAGCACAGGGAATGGACTGAGGAGATAGAGCCAGGGTCCTCATAGTGGTGTGTGGTGGGAGCATGAGAGGCAACAGGCATAAGTTAAAACCAGAGAGATGCCGACAGGGTATAAGGAGAAGCTCTTTCAATGTGGGGGTAGTCCAGCTGTGGAAATAGGGCCCAGAAAGTCTGTGTCGCCTCCATCCTTGGACATTTTCAAGCCCTGATTGGATAAAGCCCTGAGCAACCTGGTCTGAGCCCAGAGGTGGCCCTGTTCTGGG